AAGCCTTATCTCTCACTTGTTTTCTCTCTCGTTCTCGCTCTTGTTTTTCATTCTGTCATCCCTCTCTGCAGTTTGGCCAGTGGGTTGAATTTGCAGCTCTCTCTGTGTGAGCGTGCTACTTATGGCAATTACTAAACTGATGTTTTCTTAAAATGTAATTCAGATTTTTTTGTTTGCTTCTGTTCATTTATTTATTTATTTTTTTAATCTGTCTTGTTTGCTGCCTTCCTGTTTGTCATTGTCATGAATAAATGGCACAATGGGATTTAGTTTTTCATGATTCAGGTAGATTTTTTTCCAAGTGTCTTATTGAGTCCATAATTAGAAGAATAACATTATACATATCTGTCAAAGAAATTGTGTTGGACTTCAGTCATGTGGTTTTGAATTTACTTGTCATGTCACCTTTGTTGTCGTGGCCCAGTTTGCATGCAACAACTAATTTCCATGTTCAAATCAAATATTTCTTTTTGAATAACCCCCAATCAGACTGTACTCCGCACCCTTTTAAAGCCCTCCAAGCTCTCCAGTGTTGATTAGAAAGTTTGCTGCTAATGAGTTCTCTTGATAAAGAATAACTGGCATTGTTCAATACTCTGAGTGGCCCTAATGAAACTCCAGCTGATGAAGATTGTAATCGTGTGAGCGCCACATAATGAACAAGCGCTCCAAATTCCCATTTTCAAGTTGAATGCCACTCCTCTGGAAAGCCTCAATTTGTTTGACAATTAACCAATAGAAAAAAAAATCCCCCCCAAAAATTAGGCCATTTTGTTGAAGAAAGAAAGTTAAACTTCTCTGTACAAATGGCAGGGGAACAGTGGAGACTGATTGCAGATAGAATAGATTATAATACTGTGGTCACTCAATGCTCGGTTTCTGAAATGTTATACTGTACGTTTTTTTTTTTTTGGTCCTTGGCTCCAGTTTTACTCCACAATGTGTTTCCACTTAATCTCTTTGCATCAAGAGAAAACCTGAAACAAATCAATGATTCATTTTTCAGAGCTATGCGATGTGCTGTCACACTTTCCTCAAACTAAACTGTACAAACCCCAAATAAATAGTTTCTCCATTTTTTTATTGTTTTTGGAAAAAATGTCCCAAAGCTGGCACCTGAACCTAACATTAGCCCTGGCACAGTGTGTGTAGGGGAGCTACTGCAGCTTTCTCATGCACCATAACTAACATCATGTTGTGCTTTTGCGTTAGCTTGATGAAATATGACATTTATGCTGTTATATATTACGTAATTTAACTTTAACTTTACTTTTATAAGGTAACTATTTCCAACTGTGAGTCTCTCAAAGCAGATGAGAGTGTTTGTGTCATCAGAGTTAGAACACTTACTGTGGGGACCTGGTTTACTTTTAAAGAATCTGAAACCATTTTAAAATGCACACAGGCAAATTTGAAAACACATCTGTTTGTCTTTTTTAGCCTTCAGCAGTAGGTTGGTGTTTTCCATGGCTGTAACCAAACTTTCAAACAACTGTTCTTCAGTGTGGATGGATTTTTAAGGAAACACCGACAATGCCTGGGTCCAGACCTTTAAATGTGCCCACTCCACTAAGTTTGGGTTGCCTGATTTGTCTGGCACCATGACATGAAACAGCAGTTTCTCAGTTAAAATAAAAAATGAGTGATGAGGGCAGTGTGGGTTCCTGCTGTGTTAATCGGTGCCATGGGTGGGACTAACAACCAAAATACATGGGACACGGATGTGGTGCGACTGTCTGCTGCAGCATACCTGCAGCACAGTGCATCCATTATAATCAACTGAAGCTGCACAGAACTGTGTGAAAACAAATACAATCTGTTTAAAAATGATTGAAAAAAAAAAGTAAACCTCATTGTTCCAGAGGCAATGTGAAGCATCAGAGCAACGTTGTGTGTTCTTGTTCATTTCACATTAAGATACATCAATCAAATCGATCCTGTTGGTAAAACGATAGCCTACACTTCCAAACCCTGCATAACCAACTGCAATATCACTTGATAAAACACAGTGATGCTGGCAGCAACCACATGCTGCAAAGACAGAGTCTGTGCAGCAGGTTAAAAACCCTGCTCCGCCATGTTTGTGCCCCATCTATTTCAGCCATAACTCCATTGTCAAGCTGTTTTCAAGTGGTTATGAAGCAATGCAGGGAGGGGGTTATAATTTTAGAGGAGAATTTAATTTAAAAATATATATATATGTTCGTACAAATAAGAAGAGTCTGTATTTCCGTGTATGGAGTGGACTTGTGGAGCATAATTATAAATCAATTTAAAAAAACTGTACAAAAAAGATATTTTTGGCAGATACATAGAAGAGGAAAAGTTGTTAGGGGAGTGCATATTTATTTTGTAACACTGGGTGGTACTTTAATAAACTGGGTTTATTATTTATTTAATTGGGTGGTAAATAGACTGGGGACAGTTGTATATTACTTGTAAATAAATTTGGTAATTTGTTGAAATAACATGAGTTAAAAGAAGAAATGTAAGAAAGGGGCAGGGACACATAAGTTTTACTTCTATCTACTCCTTTTCGGGAACTGTTATCTTTGTCTTGTTGGTTTTTGATATGTTGTTTGTTTGTTTGTTTGTTTTTTTTTTAATTTTTGGTTCGAACTAAAGTCCTTCATTCAATGCTCTGAAACCAATGAGGAGTAATAACAACAATAGTGAGTACTATCCACCTTATTTTTCACGGAAACACGGAGGCAAAACAGAACACAGCCAGCTTCTGTTTTTTTGTGCGACACTTCCGGTCCAGCACTCTTACCACTGTGTAAATGGGAATCGCCTTGTTGTTTACCTTGCTGAGTTTAGCTATATATATGTATATATCACATTTTTCACATCACTTTATCACCGTTTAGACTAATCTGATGTTTGTAAAGTCTATAAACACAATGACTGAATAAGCATTAGTATTTTCTCTGTGTGTAATTAATAACATGGTTATCGTAGATTAGCTGGGCTAACCGTTAGCTGGTAGCCCTTAGCTGTGTCTGTAATAACTCACTAAACTCACAAAGTGGCCCGTGAAAGAATATTTTCGCCAGCGGATGTCTTAGTTACAACATGATTGAGCTAACTGGAGTAGTCTCATGTCGTATCCGACAACGGGAGGCTTTTAACAGATGACCATCCTGATGTTAGCTTTGCTGCTAGTGTTAGCTGTCCCTGTCAGCTGCAGCCACTGATGCTTTCTAGACATTGTGATTTCCCAAAACTGAATAAATACTACACATAGCAACACAAAACTGCTTTGCTAGCTCAATCATGTTGTAACAGCTGGATGGTTGATGCGTACATGCTGATTCAGGTGCTATCAGAGCCGATCCGCGCATCAACTCAGTCAATTAAAACAACCCGTCCTGTGTTAGGAGTGTATGTCACTGACAGAAAGAAAGAAAGAAAGAAAAGGGAAAAAAAAGATAGGAACGCAGCGTACACCTCACATATTTATTTCTCACAGTTGCGCACACGTGTGGCTGGCATGCAGAAGCACCGTCTGTGTGTCTGTGTGTCGAGGGTGCGAGCCGCAGCTTCAGCTGCTCATGTAGAGAGGCTGTGTAGCCCGGTCTGTTTTTTCGCTGATTCGGTTCTGCAGGTTCTCTGCTGGTACACTGGAGACGGGGATCAAGCAGTTTGTCTCACTCGGGATAGACTGTTTTTTGGTTCATAGTTTATGATTGACGTGCGATTTATTCGCGTTTAGAGGGAATAAATTTCCATTATAACGGAAACGTGGGCACAGTTATCTATACAAAATACACAGACTAACTAACTAACTAACTAACTGATTGACTAACATAAACAACTGAAAAATGAAAAAAAAATTAGCTTGCACCGTTAGCTCCGGTAAGGGAAAGCATGAGGGAAAGCGGCTGACTGGAAGTCACGCACAAAAAAACGGAAGTTGATCACTATTTACTTCCGTGTTTGAAAATAAGGTGGATAGATAAGATAGAAGCTGCCATTTAGGCTCCACTAAGTTGTTAGTATTTTAAAAATTGCCCAACATCGTAGTTTGTTTTTACTTCACTCCGTTCCACTCTTAAACCCTGGGCAAACAAGTAGGTTGGCATGGCTACGCATCACTGTCAACTTAAAATGGCTATAGATTCAGGTGGATACGTTCGTCTCCAGTGATTGGTTATGGGAGATCACATCCCCTCGCCCCTTTCCGAAATTGGTTAGAGTGGATGCAAAGTCAGTCTGACAGTGGGAACGGAGTGAAACGAGTCAACGGTTCTGTCAAATATCAGGCGACTGACATATATGAAATTGTCAACCTCTTAAAACGAAACAAACATGGCTGTCACTTCTCTGCACGCTTTTTTCGTTTATTATGTACAATACACAAATTTTACTCTGTGTATAGTGATGGTATAAAATATTAGGATTTAAGGATTGATTGAAGTCTCAATGCCGCATTTCAAGAATTACAATTACAGCAGTCATCTAACCCATGACACAGAAACATATAATGTGATCAGCTCTAATGTAAGAAAATGCTTAACACAATGTTTTCCTATTTACCTGCAGCAGTGTGGGCCAGGCTTGCTTTTATTTGAACAGTTTACATCTTCATATTAAACCAGATTTTCGCTTTAATGGCTTAAATGAAAGCGTGATGATTGACAGTCCTATAATTACATTTGTCTTTAAAAGCGCACTCACAAATGACAGTTTAAATATTTAATATTTAGTTTTAACTTTTCAAAACAAGCTAATAAACAACATGCTCTTAGACACAAAGTCAGACTGGTAAAAAGCGCATTAGGAATGCGGGGAATTTAGATGAAAAGAAAGACAATAGGGACTTGGCAAATATAGACATAAAAACACTAACAGATAAGCACAATAATTACAAAACCATGCAAACAAAGTGGAGCCGCTCCTGTGTGTTAAGACAGACAAGGGAGGAGGCAGATAGATTTATAAATAGTTTAACAGACGAACACAGAGTCTTAAAACCTTCTGTTTTTTCTCCTTCTCAGGATGCATTCCTGGTCATCGCAGCAATCCTGTTCTTCGTCCTGTGTGTCTACGCCTTCTTCTACCTCAACCTGAGTACAGAGATTAACCTGGATGTGGATGTGGATTGATAAGCGGTGGACAGTCGGCTGACAACGTCACACGAGGATGGGACACAGTCTGTCAGCATTTTTTTAACACACTTGTGGTGGCACGGTGACAATGAACTGCCTCTTTTGGAGAAATGAACCCAAAAACTGAAGTTTCAGGTTGTGTTTTTTGCATCATTTTGTATCTAGATGTTAAATTTCTTCTTTGCCTTTTATGCACGGGAGCACGCAATTCACGTGTAATCATTGTTTTATCAACACTATGGTTTTACATCCACAAATGTAAATATCTTCTCTTCTGAGTCTAGATCTGAAAGCTTTGATTCCCTTTCCCTGAAAAGAATCAGTGACCTCTTGCTTGTGTAACACTCTGCTGCAAAATCTACACAGCAAAGAAAATGAGCCTCCTCTTCTTTTTTTTTTTTTTTTTAACACAAGTCTTCCAAACCACAGTCGAGACCAAGCATCTGTTAATCATATTCTGCGGAGTCACGTCCCACTGTTTTCTCCACTAATAGAAAAATGTAAATCTCCTGCCGAACCTCTCGTCACATCGAGACAAACACTTGCCTCACATTCCAGTGCACAAACCTCTCCTCCCGGATATCTGGAGATCACAAAGTGTGAGATTAGAATCCACAAAGCCCTCGCCCTGATTGAATGTGTGTGCGGAATACAGAACAACACATTCTACCTGCCGCACATACACATGCTGCACTGAGACAGACATCCTCGGGATTAGCATTACAAATATGATCCTGTTCTTTCATTTGAATGGAAATTACAGAGATGAATGATGACTGAATAGAGGAGATCCTATATGTTTCTCATAAGGAACACCTTGATCATTTTCCATCTTGTCAAATGCATGTATTGTTGTCCCCTTAAGGATATGATGTGTCTATGTGAATATGAATATCTGTCAAAGCCTCTTTATCCCGAGTCTTTGTGTACCAGCACTGCGAGGTGCAAGGACTGGCCTTCCATTAACCATTTCAGTCCAAGTGCTTCCACTGTTTGAGAAATTCCTTGTTAGCAATGATGCACAGAGTCAGGAGGTTTTATTTAGTCCATTTGCTTTTTTTAATTACACATTTATTTCATGTTTCCTTTCCATTTTTCTCAGTACACATCAACACGAACTATCAGTAGCAATATTGCTCTCTAAAAGGCAATTAATGCATTATTATGGACACGACTCTTTTATAGTAGAGTGATGCATAAAAGGTCAATACCAAATAGTCACGAGACCCTGTGACTTCTCTCATGCCTGACATGTTTCCTTTTTTCACTGAGCCTCTTTTAAAAACAAGTCTTGTGTCTGTGCCTGATTGTGTTCCATGGCCGAGATGAAATCTGAGACTGATTTCAGAGCTTTCAGTTTTTCCCCTCTTTTCTCCCATGACCTCCCGACCTCTAGTAAAAGACGACATGTCCAAGAAACCATTATGATAAGCGCATGCACCCGTACCCTCACCCGCCTCTGTGAGTCACTCACATGTGTAACAATAGATAGCTCGACCTGACAGACCTTCATACGTGACACCTGTTATCTAAAAGGTCACCAATACCAACCACAAGAGCTTTGACATCAGCACAATGGAAAGGATCTGGCAGCACAACCTATTTATTCACACACACATTTGACAAGATGAGGTCTGGGCGATTTTTCACAATAGTCTTATTGTTTGTATGGTATGTTAACATTTTACAGTTTACTTCATCATTATGATTCGGTTGGGGGATGCTGTGTGATACATTATGAACTATCTTACTCTGATATATATTTTGTTAAATTACCTATAAAATCAACAGTGTGTATTTCTTTTTAAGAAAATATAAATAATGTACTATAATGTACCTTTTCAGATTTCAATTCATTTATTTGTATGAATTTTAATTATGTCTTAAAGGGGACTTTTTATGCTTTTCCTTATTTTCTGTCATATAATTTCTTTACACAGTTCAGTATCACTTCCTGTAGCCTCATAACCATAGAATCTGCTAACAAACCTCATTAGCTAGCTAGGCAACTAGGTAGCAAAGAAACTGCTACAATGTGTATACATTTTAGGTCAACTTGGATGTCTGAGGTGAGCTAAGCTAACTACGGGGGATTGGATTAAGGAGTGCATATTTCTGGGGAAAAAAATCTGCTGCAGTTTTCAGAGTCATCCTATTGATGCTTGACAGTTTTTCAGTGGTCGTACAATAAATGGCAACATACAAATCAATATAAATAAATAGCCATATAATGAAATCCATTTTGTTTTGTTTTTTAAAAAGAAAAGAGGCTACTGCTGCATAGCAACTGCCTTGCACTGTGTAGGTAGCAATGAAGTTCTATTTCTTTGTAAGAATACCTCATGAATGCCTTATGAATATGTTAATAAAAATGGTTTGAATTGGAATGTGTCGATAGCATTAATATTTCCATACTCAGTAACTGTTTTATGTTGGCCAAACAAGAAGCAGAGGGCTGAACAACATTATGTGCTCCAGGCAAGCTACTGCAAGTGTTTCCATTACATAACCTACATTGCTACATGAAACCACATGCTAACGTCAGGGATACATGTAATCTTGATTGCCGATTTTGTTAATTTTTATTTCAGATCATAATTCTACTGGAACATATCCTGTTGTGAAGATTTTGGTTTAAAAGCTTTTATTGGTGACTTTTCATGGTAGAAAATACCGCTATTCTCCATAGATCCTTTTACTGTTAGTAAACAGCATGACATTTTTTGTGGGCGGGGCTTAGGTGGAGGCAAAACAGTTCTCCTCAGACATTAGCCAGTGCTGGCTAGTGAGTTCTGTTGGCTTGTAACTGACAATGGAAGATGATGCGAGTGGTGCATTCAGAAATACTCAATCCGAGTGCTGGAGCGCACAAACTGGACCGTTTGTAAATTCAGAGCATTGCTGGAATGTACAGTTCAGCTACCCAGAGCACCACACTCTCAGAGTGGCAGAGCTCGCTCTAAGCACTCTGTTTGGGGAGACGGAGCAGCAGAGCACCAAACGGAGTGAATGTGTTATTATCTTAATCGTTCGTTAAATTAAACAGATACTTAACGCTCAGTTTCTTCAACCAACAGGGCTCTCATTTTAGCGTCAGACGCTGGACCATGAGTGTTACTTGAATAAGTAAACAATGACCAATGAGACCAGACTGGTCGAACCATATGCTCTCACTCAGTGGATGGATGATGTCACAGGAAGCTTTGTGGTTGATTACAACGCCAATCTTAAAGAGGAGGGCGACACTTGAACGGTTTCTTCCAGTTTGTTTTGCTATTGAAGCTAGCTAGTTAGCGTTAGCTAATGTGTCAAAGTTAGCGTTATGTAGAAATCACATATTCCTCTAAATACCTTCCCAGTTTCTGATTAGGTGGGCATGATAACCCTTAATACACATAACGTTATTCATCCCTACAGCAGGAAATACTTTTCCCTAACCTTATATGAAGTTTGCACTGCACATGTGAGCATTTTTAATGATTGCCTCCTTCCAGTGGCATCTGATATGCGATGAAAAATTTTTTTTGAGCCATGACTCCTTCTGTTCTGGCTCCTAATAACAACATGACAACATTTTAAGACTCCTATGTAGCGTACGGCCCTGTGGTGGTGAGTCGTGTTTTGCCTCCAGCTAATAAAATGATGCCATCATGACATCAGCCCGAAAAGGGTCTATTAGAGGCATTCCCCAAGAATTTTTTTTCTTTTTTTTTGACAATTAAAGCGTGTAAACATGTTCTAGCAAAAAAACAAAATACAAGTATGAATCTGAAAATGAGCATAGGAGGTCCCCTTTAAGTGTAAACCAAGATATGTTACAGCTTCTTACTTTCTGGCCTTTCAACCTTTCAAATTACCCAGAAAAATACATTAGAATACAGACAGAAAAGGTGTCATGAGCACAAATAACAGAAGTATCGAGATTCTTCAGATGCTTGAACATATCTACTTAGCCCATTTACACTGCAACGTTATAAGTGTAATGGCAAATATTAAGTAATATAAAGTAAGAGTTGCATTTAAACACAATAGCAGCCAATCAGGCACTGTATACTTTAGTTAACACCTTGACATTATCTTAACTACCAGTAATATTTTATATTTCTTTATCCGTGAAGGTTTATATATAGCCGTTAAATGCAGGTGCAGTCATTACTTTGAGTCCTAAAAGTTAATGAATAAAAAAAATCCCATTGTCAATTCACTTTTATGGGGTATAAACTTCCCATTATTTCTTTTAGATGGCTTCAATTCCAAGCTATAAACAACAGTGTTCTATCAGTAATGGGTTATTATATTGAATTGACTATAGTAGTGTCTGCATTGGCGCACATGTCATGTCATGACCTTTTCTCAGTAACAGCAGGCTGCTGGTGTGTCAACAAGTGTAGCTGTGAGGATGTTGACTCAGGATTTCCTCAGTGAGATGCTACAGTAGATTTGGAGGTACACACAGCAGAGTTAATCCACATCAATGACAAAAGGACATGGGTGTGATGTCAGCATTCAGCATGTGACATTATCTCTGCTAATTGAGAGTGTTTCACTGACTTCTGCTCACTGCAAGTCAAACGCGTGGAATTAATCAGGCAGTAGCACTGTATGAGCGTTTAGCGCGACCTTAACAGCGTTCCACAGGAGTTGAACGCGCTGAAGCTTTACCTACCATCCTGTGACAAATGAGCTAGACGCCACGCGCCCAAATCCTACTCATTAGTCATGTGAGGTATGTCACCAAGAGTAATTATACTTAGCCCCAAACTTGCAAATGCAACAACACCCACACACAATATGTAATGTTGCTGCACTTTCCCACACTTAAGCCAGTAGGAAACATTCTCATACATGTATGGCTTTTTTCCGAGACATGAATCATAATTATGACTGCTGGCGAACCCGACACTGCACATTCGGAGCATGCTAGGTTTGGCTCTCATGGTATTTGCTTTAGACATAAACAAACATTTGCATTTTGTCACAGTTTTTGTCCTTACCATGACGTTATGTGAACATAAATGCACGTTGACCTCAGCGTATTTTCTGTTTAGTTTCGAAGATGGCGTTCACCTCTGTTATGGTGCCATTTTTTTGTGTGTGTGTGTGTGTGTGAAAGAGAGAGAGACAGTGTACAGAGGGGCTTGTGCGGCTGCCTTTCTTCTGTGTATGTGTGTGTGTATGTGTGTATTTTCAGTATTCAGCACCGTGCCTTTGGCCATGCTCCAGTGGAGCGCTCAGTCTCTCTGACGGACCGGTGAGAAGTGAGGAGGGTCAGTCCCGCCAGGAGCTCATTTAGTCCCTATCTCTATCACACACACACTCTCACACACACACACACACACACACACACACACACACACAGTCTCTACTAGTCTCCCTGACAGGGAGACTCATGGCTCCCTCTCTCCCTCATACACACACTTGTGCACACAAACACACACTGCTGTGCTCCCATTAGGGAGATATAGTGAGAAGACAGGACTGATGATGCATGTCACAAAGTACTACTGCTAGTCTCACACATAATGTCTCCTCCCTCTATCTCACTCCCCACCTTCCGCCCTTTTTTTCCCTTCTCCATCTTGTTGATTTGCAGCATTTCTTTCACAGCTTCTGCTTAAAAATTAAAATATGGAGATTTATATCATGTAAGGGACTTTGGTGCATACATCCAGAGTCAGAGGGTTATAACGACAGAAGGCATAAAAGCTTAAATTTCTCTTTGACTCTGAGTGGTGTGTTGCATATTTGAAAGCTGTAACTAGCTTTCAAGTTAATGCAGTGACTGATGTAGTATATTGTGTAGAACAAATATGAGGCTGTTCTGTGTTCTATACATGATCATCCTTCCTATCTACCACGTTACCAAAATGCAGGTACCATCTGCAGACTCTAATGTGAGAAACAAACATGACCATGTCAACGCTGAACTTGACAGTAATACTTTGGTGTTTAATTCTCCGCCGACCTCTGTTGCCTGTGTGCCTGATATGAATGCATTAGCAGGATTGCGCTGTGCGGTGGATTAGAAACTCCCCTGTGCTTTGTGAGGTGTGTGGTAATGCCAGACTTAGCGGATTCTGCTGCGAATCACATCCTCCCATCGCCTTCTTAATCCCTGATGCGCTGCCTAATGACACAGAGACCGAAGAACTCAGCGGGTGAGCTTAGAAAGGCAGGGAGGGCGTGGGGAAAGTGACAGAAAAGTTGAGAAGACTCAAAAGTAGTTTGAGGTCTGATAGAAAAGTATTACTTACTCTTAATGACTGATACTAAAAAGGTCCCTGATCTTTGTCTATGGTGTTACAATATTTTTGATTTGAAGAAAATGTGCACGTGTATTTTTGTCTTTTGTGTGTGTGTGTGTGTTTACAAATGCTGCATCCACAATCAGTGTGTCATGAGTGGATAGGGCAGGTGCTCAACAGGTGTGCTCTCTGATACCAGTCCCTCTCCATTTGCCTGTCTGTCTCTCCATGTTTGCACACGCTCATTGTGTTCTTCATAGAGGAACACCTGGGCTCTGCTGTACCTGGGCTTGTTGCCCAGTCCTCTGTCTGACAAGGCGCGCACACACACACACACACACACACACACACACACACACTGGAACACAGCCAGTTCCTGTTACTGGCTAAAGCAGGAAGCAGCAGCTGACATCCTATCCTTCAGTTCCCAGGAGACCCAACACACTGAGTGAACCATCCAAGTCCGACCCACTTGAGACCAGCCCACCTGAGATTCGGGTCTCTTGAACACAACAGTTAAATGGAAAAGGAGAGCACTGAAGGCTCTGTTAGCGCATTAAGCTAACAAGTATCTGGTACTTCTGTTGGATTTTCTAAGGCTGATTGTTTTGGGCATCCATTTGTTTTGCCTTTCAAGTGTGGTTTATCATGCCAACAAAAGCTGCAGTAAGCATCAGAGATTTCAGAGCTAAATTCCAGCGAATAAGCTTCAGTGGCAGGTGCCAAACTCGGCCATGGCTTGTCTGTTTAGATCAGCGTACCTTTCCAGGAAACAGAGACCACTATATTTTAAATAAGCAATAGACATGAGCAACCCTTCGCTTGTAATGTCTCGTGTTCAAGTCTTTAAAGTGTCAAAGACAATGAGAGCAAACTTGCAAAATAGTTCCAGTGTTTGACACAAGGTTTGATTGATTTGATTGATTCAGTATTGATCAATGACCGAACTTTAGTGTGCAGGAGACGAAGACAAAGTCATACCCAGTGAGAAAAGAGGCCTCCAAGAAACAGAGCAGAGTTACTGTGTTCCTCACAATGGTCTGCTCGGCCATGCACTAGTGAGCGTGGGATTACCTCAGGGAATCACACAAACAGGTTGTCTCCAGTTCTTTTGACTTGTTGTGGTTTGTTGCTGGAATAAG